TATACGATGTAAAAATGACATGTGTGTTACTCAAAACTCATTGTTTTTGTGTGGGAAAGCCACCAGGTCTCATTGAAAAAGATACTAGTTTCAAGCTTGTCTGTTTAAAAATAAGCTACTTTAAAATTGTACTTTTAAGTCAGAGCATTGATTTACATATGTTTACACTGATTTATTTTTCCCTGAAGTCTGGCTTTGTATACTTACAGGTTAGCTAAAAAAATAAAGAATAATGTATTCTTTATCGTAGTCATATTTTTCTGTAGTTCTGTTCACATTCTCAGTTCCAATGTTCTAGCGCACGTTTATTTTTCAGAATAGTTTTGTACTACCTTGTAATAGTCCAAAAAAAATGAAGTGATTGTTATTATTTCTCTAAATCTGTAATATTTCTTTCTCCTTTTTTAAGATTGCAGATGAGGAGGCAAAGAAAAGAGCAAAGCCACTGAGAGTTAAGAAGCTGTATGTATTATCAGCTTTACTTATAGAACAATGCCACGAACAAATGCAAAATGCACAAAGGGGAAAAGCTAAAGGAAAAAGTGCTGAGGTGGTGTCTTCTTTTCTCATTATTGTAAAACATTGGTGTGTGTTACTTAGGATAAATAAGCCCATCTTCATGTGAGATCACTAGTTTTTTTAAATAGCACCTTTCTTTCTTTAAAATAAGTCTTTCATGACAGCATGCCACAAATATTATTTTTAATTATTTTAATTATATATATTATTAGCTAGATATACTCTTCAACCTAAGTGCGGTGTTCTTAATTTTTCACCATTGGAGTAGAAATTATATTAAAATCTCAGACTTTTACTTGCGACTCTAAATTCCCTGTCATTTAAAAATWAGTATTTATTCCAAAGAGAGATTATGTCATTAAATTAAGCTATGTTGCTACATTGTAGCAGGGAGGGGCAGGTCCTTTGGGAATTTAAGGGAAGTAAATGGATTTTTTTTTTAAATTCATACTCAGTTTAAACAGTTTTATTTGGTATCTGGTGCTGAAATACAGTTTGCATTTCAGATGCATTTTAAAATGCATTTTAGAATGCCTAATGATCCTCATTTGGGTCCATGTATTTATGCTTTCCATAGTTAATACAGACARTTGATATAATCACATAGTAAGTTCAGAGGTCTTTTGGTCTATSTCAATTTCCTGCTTGGTCTGTTTTATATCAAAATTATTTGTGGTGCTGCTTTCTTTTCAGACAGCTTCAGCTTTGGCTGGTTTGCTAGAAGAAGATGTCCTTTCTTCAACTAACCGCTTTGCAGACAATGCTTGGCGAGGAGCTGAGGCTTATCATTTTTTTATACTTGCACAAAGACAGCTCTACAAGGGCTCTGTAGATGCAGCATTGAAGACAGGTAGGATTTCATTTATAAAGTTGTAAAGAAGCTATTACAATTTTACAAACCTGCAAAACACAGTTGCATTTGTAGTTGTTGGGGTCTTTTATTTTTGCTTGTCTCTGGAATTTTAAAAGAAACCATATAGCAAACTGGAAATGAAAGTAGTCCAGATACCTTGGAAGTGTTTTCTTGGAAACTATGGAAACTATGGAAGTGTAACGTAGCAAATACTATCTGGTCAAACTGGAGAGCTTTTTGGATGTTCTTTTTTTTTTTTTTTTTTTTTTTTTNTTTTTTTTTTTTTTTTTTTTTTTTTTTTTTTTTTTTTTTGTTCATATCTAAGTCACATCAGACATCTCTGTAGAGCTTCATAAAATATCACTGTAAGTTGTAAGTTAGGAAGACAAATGGTGCCCTTTACTTTTTCCCAATAATGAAAGCCCATTTCAAGTACTTCTAACACACAAAAAATATGTCTCAGTTCACACTCAAATCCACTTTTTAAAAAAATGTTGAACTGTGTAAACTTAGTTTCCTTGCATAGCATTTTCACTGAGATAACTTGGTTTATTCTGTATAATGAAATTATGAATAAGATTTATATTACCCACTAGTAGTAATGGTTTCCTATGGAACCTTGCATTTCTGAGAAGGTGGGTTATGACTTCTTTGGATTTTTTTTTTTCTTCTTAGCCCTTCACTTACAGGATTATGAGGATATTATCCCAGCAGTTGAAATCTACTCCCTTTTGGCTCTCTGTTCATGTGTACATAGAACATTTGATATTTGTTCAAAAGCCTTTGTTAAACTGGAATCCTTGGAAACTCTCATCCCAGAGCAGAGGCAACAGTATGAGGATCTTGCTCTAGAGATATTCACAAAACATTGCCCTAAGTATAACAAAAAATCTGATCTGCATGATGTTCTTGAGAGGTAGGTTATGTTTATATCATCTTATAATTATTAGGGTTTTTTTTTCAGCTGTTATCTGTAAATGGGCTTTTGGCAATGCAAAGAGAAGAAAAGGACGTTTCCTTGTGACCAAGTTTTATTAGACGAATATTGGGCAAGAGTGATGCAAGTGCTAGACTTCCCTTTAAAACGCACCCATTTGACATGTCTATGACGGGGAAATAGCATTTGACCTTAATGGAACAAGGTGTAAGGACRCAATTGCATCTTCATTTTAAATGCAGGTGGATTGGACACAGGAGTTTCAGGACTTTTGATAAGGTGTGATATGTCATTAAGGGTAACCTTAAGTCATGTTATCTGTGTCTAGCATCACACTGCAGTGGTGATATAATGTGACTGACCCTTAACCAAAATATTAAGTTTCCTATGTTTTTTAAGTATGTTGGACTTACATRGCATGAGAAGAGTAACAGAGTGGAACAATTAAAGTATGAAGGACATGTATAAGCAGTCATTATTTGAAGTAGCTATCCTAAAATAATATCTTGCCCTGCAAAAAGCATGCGATTTTGAGTATGGAAGGCAGACTAACCTACAAGTTGATTATTTTGTGTTTCTTTTAGTGAAATAGGATTTTATTTAACATGGGGTTTTTTTTTAGTTTAACAGTGCAAAGCCTGAGCTCTGAAGCCACTAGTGAGTGGTAGATTAAGTCATAGCAATAAGCGTAATAGTCACTTACCTTTATATACCTGAACTRCTTCTTTTCACATAGGCTTTGAGTCTGCTGGTTCTCATATGCTGACTAAGTCTTTTGACTGTGCAATCTGTTGCCAAATATTTATCCACTTAGCTGTGTATGTAGTCATTTAATTTAATTGCATCAGTAAGAAATGGCACACGTCTGAACCAAGAGGTATTTTATGGATGGGCATAAAAAGCTTAGCAACTAATTTGTAGGTACACAATTAAGATTAAATATACAGATCTGCTCTTTTGCAAGTTTTTAGAAAACAAATCTCTGCTGACATTTTAAAATTATATCCTTTTTTCAGATTTATTTACTTTTACTCTTCTTTTAACAGTGGAGATGAGAAGCTTCCTATATGTGTTGCAACAGGAGAACCTATTGTGGAATATCGATTCTGGATGTGCAGTGTGTGCAAGCATTGTGTGAAAGCCAAAGAAATAAGCAATTACAACTTCTGTCCTCTGTGCCACAGTTCTGTAGCATAATAGAGTATAAAGGTTTGTTTATCCTCATATCTGCTATGACTCATTAAAAAAAACAGAACTCTAAAAGGTTAACTTTTGTACTGTGTTAAAATACAGTTCAATATTACTATTATTAGAGAAACATTTCAAAAATGAAATGGCAAGTTCTCATGTTACATGTATGTTAACAAACAGTTGTATTAATTGACTCAATTTTAACAGTGGTTGAAGGTAACAGCTTGGTTTGTTAATTATAAACAGAACCTAGTTTCTAAGCCATGCAAATTGAATTCAGGTTTATCTTACTAGGTTTTCCTCTGTGAGTCTTGAGACGACCAGTAACTTCCCATGGAATTGTAAAAGTGAAGCAAAGTGTTTCCTGAAGGAGGTAATTCTTGGGCTGAAATAATGCACAATAGCTGTCATAAGATTATATGTATTTTTCTACTACTTGCTTTACTAGGATGGTGATACTTAAGTCATAGTTCATATTTATGCTATTTTCTTTTCCCAAATGTATTTAAAACTGTAGTACCAACAAAGGACTTGCAAAGCTTTAGTAATCAGTGCCTTCAATAAGCATTGGAGTTCTTAAGATTTTTTTTGTTCCTGTGACGATTTGTTTCATCATCTAAGGAAACCAATATGATCCTTCAGACTAGGAGCTGTTAATGGGCTCCTTTTTTACAAGGTAGTAGCTTGAAGCGAGCAACTCACATCTGCTAAGCAGATCTCAGGAGCTGTAACAGCTATCTTCGTTACACGTGAAGAATGAAAGGATATGGACTCTTATTTAGAAGGGGGCTTTTCAATTTTATTGCTATTTTTTTAGCCACTGCTTTCATGGTACGGTATGAAAATGTTGCAGGTCACTTACCCATGGCATAAGTTTGTTCCACAGGGAGTTAGCATGTGACAGGCTGGTAACGTTCACTAGCATTAAAAATTAGTTTGTATGTTGTTTCTTCTTTAAGGAAAAAAAAAATAGTGAGGATTGCCCTGTTTCTGCTATGAGTTCTTTGGTACGGATATTTTTGTTGGGAAAATTATATGTAAAATATACATTATTAAATTTTTTTTTTCTATTCAGGTTATTTGAGCTTTCTTTTTCTTTGTTAAAATTTAAATTTGAGAAGTATACCAGGAATGCCCTGTGAAAGTAGCTGGAGTAGGGGGTTGACCTGACAGCCTGCACCACAAATTAGGACCATAGTTCAGCCACAGTGCGTGTTTTAACAAGGGACCACAGTAATTATATATTTTGATTAAACTCGTCTGAATTGCTATTGAAAGCACACTAGTTCCTCCAGGTCTCTCTAAYGTATACGGGGCTATGGTGGCGCGACTGCCGCTATGGAGCGCGGCCGCCCCCTGGCGGCCAGAGCGCCCCGGGAGCGCCGGCTTAACGGCCACGGGGAGGGACGGGGCGGGGCGGCGGTTTAACGGGCGCCGGGAGGGGCGGGGCGGCCGTTTAACGGGCGCCGGGAGGGGCGGGGCGGCCGTTTAACGGGCGCCATGGAGCGCGGCGCGGCGGAGCTGCTGGCGGCCGCGCACGCGCGGCTGGCGGCGCGGGAGCTGGCGGCGGCCGAGGAGCTCTACGGGCGCTTCATCGCCTGCAGCGCCCCCGGCGGGTAACGTCAGCGAGGACGGGCCGGGGAGGGGTGCCCGCCATCGCGGCAGCGCTGAGGCCACTCCGCCTGCTTTCCCCCACCCAGCGGCGGCCGCGACCTCGCCACGGCCCTCAACAACCGCGGCCACCTCAGGTACCTGCGCGTGGAGTTCGCCGCCGCCCTGGAGGACTACGCGGCCGCCATCGCGAGCCAGCCCGACTTCGAGGTGCCCTACTACAACCGCGGCCTGGTGCTCTACCGGCTCGGTGCGTGCACGGAGGCCCGACTCGGGGCAGCGCGCCCTGCGAGCCGAGCGGCCGGCAGGCCCCTGGCTGCCCCTTGCCCGGCATCGGGGCCTGCCGGCCGCGAAGTGCGGGGGAAAGGCAGGGGGCCTTCACAGCGCTGGGCGGGAACCGAGGCACCTCTTAYATCCCGAGGGTTGCCAGAGGCTGGGAAAAATCATTTTGCAGAGGAAGACACCTCCCTGGCATTGTCTGCTACTGTCAKAAAGAGGAATTTTTCCCTTTTAGTTCTGGGAGGTTCTGCCTRGAGGTCTGCCACACGTAGGCAGTTAGATGTCCCTGTTTGCAGTGATGCTTTTGTGTCATTTGAGCTGGTATTGTTTGTTAGGGGAAAGATGCAATTTAAATGTCTATTTTGGAAAGCTTTCCATGAGACTAAAGCTACAAAATTGCAACATTACCATTAAATCTAAGGTAAAGTGACTCTTATTTAGGCCCTGCAGCAGTGAGCACTGCTATCTCAATTGCAGTCTGTAATCTCTGGGGATTTACTGCCCGAGCTTTGAATATGCCATAAGGAAATGACACTGCAGCCCCYTTTGGTGGAGCTTGGCTGCTGCAAGGTCAAGTTCCAGATGCTGAAGGGCTAGAGAGGGATAGTGCTGAGAAAGGAGCCTGACCAAGGCCATAGTCTAGAAGCAACGTGCCTGCTTTCTAGGTTTAAAACAGCTCTGCTGTTAGTTTCTTGCCATTAGTTGGCCTTTTCTCTTGGAATATRTAGCCCAAATTCTCCCAATTTTAGTGCCAAAGTGAGTACTCAGACTTGCGATAYGTACACCTTCAACTCCCATTTGGACTTAAGGAGAAAACAAATATTGTAACAGGCTCAATAAGCACAGTGGGTACTTCTTGTTAGTGAAAGTCATTCAAGTCAATTGTGGCTTCTGAGATTAATTACTGAAAAATAATTCTTTCTCTTTTGTTTTGGAACAGGATGCTTTGATGACGCCATGACAGATTTCAGGAAAGCTTTGGAGTTAAACCCTCAGTTTGAAGATGCTGCATTGAGTCTAAAGCAGGCTATTCTTGATAAAGAAGCAAAACAAAAGAGAGGTTACTAAAAAATGAGATATAAAAATGTTTTGCTGAATACCTACATGATTTTTGGCAGTGATGGATAAATGCGAGATCATTTGCATATGTGCTCTACTGAAGAATTCTTGGGTAAATGAGTTAGGGAATGTAAATGTAAAATGAATCTCATGTTTGTAAAGAGCTTATGGTAGCGAGTGCAAATGAGCTGCTATTCATGGCTGGAGTCTTCACTTTTTTATTGAAAAGATCAATTGCAGAAAATTATAATATGAAATCTTCAGCTTCAGCTGACTGTGAATACCCAATAGTGTTATTTTTTGTGCATAAGGGGAGAGACAATTGTTGAAATTCAATAAGGTATAAGAAATTCCATGGTATTTTACATGGGAAATAAAAGTTCTACTAAAAGAAGTGCTTTTTGATTGCTTGTGTGTATTAGAATATGCATATATTTTATAAATGCTGCTAGTGAAAATTCTGCTCCTTATGGTGAGTTTCTTTATGGATAATTCTATAGCATTCACAAATGCAGTGTTCACTGAAACAGGTAGGACCCTTTCGGTAAGTCATGAGCAGAGAATTTAGCCTGTGAAATATGTAGTAATTTTTGTGTAGCTCCCCAGAAGCTCCATTGAGATTGCTTTCAACTTGTGGATGAAACAGCAACAGTTGGAGTGAAAAGATTTGGGGCGTAGGGCTGAGAAAAGGCATTTTCTAGATATACAGAGCTTTTGGTCTGATTTGATTTTTGTATCTTAATGATCTGTCTTAAATATATTAATAAAGACCAACATTTTTCCTGCCATCTCAGACACAAAAACTAGATAAACTAAACATGTCCCCGACGCAGCATGCTATGAAAATGTAGAGCAGGTGAATTTGAACCACAAAGCTGCAGTCTGAGAGGAAAACGGGTAGAAAGACTTAAAGGAAAGATCATGGATGTGACTCTGCGCAAAGCAAAACACTGATTGTTTAAGTGATAGCATATAGATGATGATTGAAAGAGATCAATATCAATTACATATTTTGGAAAATAAGACAAGAATTCAAATAATAGTATTCCTCATAWTTCCCCTATCATGTAATTTTATGAGTGCTGCTCAATTCTAACATATCCATTGTTGGCAAAGGGCTCTTTCATCAAATTGGGAACAATTTCATAGCAGATTCTCCACAGAATTCCTTGTCTCTTCTGTAAAGGAATGAATTGTTGTGGTGTATTTTGGCATAATTTGGGATAATTTAAAGGTAGTTTCAGCCAGTAAAAGTGTTAAACACATACTCCTCTCTCAGATGCACACATGGATTATGGGGTTAGGCTTTCTGTTGCTCCTAACCATCAGGGTTTTCAGTTTCAAATTAGTGAAATTTCAGTGATTGTCTGAAATTARGTGCAGCATGGTATTCTCAGGACTGTTGAAAGGATATAATAAAACATAATTATCAATGGCAAAAAATTGAATGTGTTTAATAACTCCAGCCCTGCAAGGTTTACTATTTGTAGTTCTTTAAGAACTGAAAGTATAATGGAGAGTTGTAAAATTACATATATAAATCTCTGTTATCTCTGAGTTTCCCTAAGAAACTCAGAGATTGGCTTGTAAAAGCACTAGTAATGTGCTTTGGACACTTTTGCAGTGGAGAGTAGTGTGGCTTTTCACTAATCTTTAGAGGTTGTGTCTGCCTAAAAATTATAAACCGCTGTAGAGCATCCATCTCAGTCCTGGCTTCCTTCTCTGTTGCCTTTGCTCATCGTTCCCTTGTCACGGTCATTGTACTGCGCAGAGATGCAGCAGGAGGTTGGTGCTAATGTAAGCATTTATTTGGGCCAGAAACRTTGCAGACGTGAATAAATCAGAGCACCGTCCAAAGTTTTCCAACCTATAAACCTACTCTCCAAAGCACATTGCCACTCCAGACAGGCCTTTGCTGGCGACTCCATCATTCAGCTGTTCTTCGTAGCTGGGATTATCCTGGCAGTAAGTACATGTTCTCATCCAGTGGGCTGCTCTCTCTAAATATACAAAAAGTACTCAGTTTCCTCATCACATTACAGAATGGTTTTTCCCTTCAGTATCTGGAACGACGGCCACTTTCTAAGATCTTACATGTTCAGAGAATCTGGCAAAGATTAACATCATCGTCCTGTGTTTTTTCCTTGTACCCTGTTTTCTCGTGCGGAAACACAGGAGGAGGAGTTGCATCGCTTGTTCCTTTTACAGTGTTGCAGGGCTTTTAAGGAAAGGTAGGAAAACATGACAGAAGTATGAGCTAGGAACCCAAAAGTGGGATAACAGAACAGTTTTATGTTTTACATTTCTTGTACAGTATTATTTGAAATGCAGAATGGAGAACAAGGAAAACCATTTGCAAGTGAAAGCTGTGGCACACTGAAGGGGGAAAAGGGGCTTGTCAAGTGACAAGGAAATTCCTGTAAATGGACAACAGCAGTAAGTCGGTGTTAAAAGAATTAAAATCCTTGGCTGTAAGAAGTGGTCTGCACTGTGCAATGTCACATTTAATAGATAACTGATGAAAAGTAAGTAGTGAAATGTGTGTGAAGTCCCTGCATGTTGGAATAGCATGCAGGAACTTAACACCTTTATATCCAGTCTAGCCATGCATACACTAATGACCTTAGACTACCAGGGAAAATTTCAGACAGAGACAAAACCAATGAACAAAATTAAAGACTACTAGTAGGAGGATGACATGTTTGTTTATGAGGAGAGTACTCTGCAATTTCCATCTTCTCTTCCCTTTTCCATTTTGGTACTGCCACAGGATGTGGTGAGGTCCAATGTATTCTGGCAATTTCTATGGGAATGTTTCTGCTTTCATAATGTGTAGGAATCAGCATTTACGTGGAACTGCTTTGTTTCAGGTTCACCTTCTAGTAGATGGAATTCCTGGATGTGCAGAACAGATTCAACCTCAGCATGGTCCTTGTTCTCACAGTGTAAGACCTGGTTGATGAGAGAAGTTTGCTCTGGGGTCAGATCAARGTGACAACCCACTTAGTAGCATGTTAGGATCATTTAGTTGAACAGAGCTAAGGCTGAGCTGAAGCTCAGCCCTTACCAAGGTTTTCCTTGTAGGATCCCTCTCTGTGAGCAGGGATTGGAACAGCTTCTGACTGTCAGGTTTTTCATCACTCATGTCTTTGTATTGTACAATAAATGTGGCCTGACATGCGCCCAAAAGACAACTGCATCTCTCWGGAAGGAAAAGCTATTTTATCCCTGTCATAGACAAGCACTGTAACAGTAGCTTTCAAGTCAGGTTCCCTGTATTCACTGTGTTGCTGTGAAGGGTGATCCAAAGGTCAATGATTTTCAAGACTTGCTTGCAGACTCCTGTGTGCTTATTAGTTTATATTTAACAAGTCTCCCACATCTCCGTAATGCCTTTTTTTCTACACCAGTTGAATAATAAAGTCTCTCACAGCCGTAGTGACATGACCAAGTAGTTTCTGAGGGCCATATCTAAGAAAGACTTTAAGCCTTCAGGCCTGAACTGGAATGCAGGACATGAATTAGATGACAAGGCTCTATTTCCCAGCTCTATTTGCCGAATCTGCTCTATTCTATCTGGGAATAGCCTTTGGATGTGGAGCAAGATGTATACCAGTAGTGTGGCAGAATCACAGGGTGTCAAAGAGATGCCCTCAAAGCTAAGCAATGAGTACCCTAGTAAGTCTGACATGTTAATGTAACAGAGTGTAAAAGAACTGTTGRGAAAAGAACAAAACCAGGAGCAGGCAATCAAGGATGTTAAGTTTCTCTGGCTGCCCTGTTGGAATGCTGGAGATTGAAATCTGGCATCCCTGATATGGAAATCAGGGAAAGGTCTCACCAACTACCTGGTGTTGGGTGGAAAAGTAGCAAACACAGATTGCTGAACTTGCTTCTGCTTTGGCAGGGCAAATTCAAAGATCTGGGGTATTCCATGTGCTGCAGGGCCCTTGATCTCGTCAATACCGCAGGGCAGGTGCAGCATGGCCTCTGTGTGGAACTGTAGAATGTGCCCTGTGAGCACTGGGGAAAGAGGAACCATTATTTAGCCTTCAAACAAGTTTACAAGTTGTTTCATTCTAATTTATCGACCTACTCTTTGCAAATTGCTTTTTAGAATAATAGAAAATTATGAGTTTGTTACTGTTGACGCTGAACACGGGAACGTGACATGTTGGAGAAGGAGGAAGCGGCAGGCTTGTGTGGCCCTGCAGTGTTAGCTCCAGCCAGAAGAGTGCACTGCTCATACAGCAGAGAAAGGTGCCTCCCAGGCTGCCGCTGAGGGATTTCTGGGGAGGATCTCCGTGCCATAGGATTTCCTTTTATGTGTCTTAGTCCTTCAGTATCTGTATCTCTCAGACTGTGTTTATTCAGGCATGGCTGCAGCATGTGCAGTCTAGTCAGCCTGTGAAGATACAAGCTCTACAAGCTGTACCCGGCTGAGATTCTGGGCCCATCTGCGTTATTAGCTTGAACTGACAACTCTGCAAGTCTCCACTGATACTGAGTGGCTGTTCAGTATGCTGTGCTGTGCTGCAGTCACACCTTCAGTTACACTATGGGCATATCCTGAGAGTGATCTGCATCTGAGAGCTTGTCTGGTTTGTCCTTGATCTGTACAAAAATAAGCTTATTATTTTTTATTCCTTTTTTTTTTCTTTTTTTCTTTTTTTTTTTTTAAATGGTAGGCATAGAAAAGTAAAATTCCAGGTGAGTTTTTTTTTTTTTTTTTTACTGATTTCAGAGCTTCTAAGCTTCTTCCAATTTGTAGTTAGCTTTCTCCATACATTGTCTTCTTAAAAGAAAACACAAGACAAATACATTTCTGGGAAACTCAGGAATGTGCTAGATGCAACTTTTTAACCAAAAGCTTGAAAAAAAACCATCCTGCCATTGCGCTGATGTGAAAGAGGTGCCGAGTAGGAGATGGCTTGGCTCTTCAGAGCCACTGTTAGTAGAGGTGGTAGATGGTGRGATAGCAAGGAGATGTTCTGCAGTTACATGACTTCATATGTACTTTTATTTGACTTTTTACATTTGTACTTTATATTCAGTTGAGTGGATCAGCAATCGCCTTATGAAGCATTGAAAGAAACAGCCATGATCAGGGTTGGGATAATTCTAGTGCTCAACAAGTCCATATTTCTATAGCTAGAAGAGAAAGGAAATGTTATTTTGCAGCTTTGGGCTATTTTCTGGTTAAGTTTTCCATTCATAGGCAACAAGTTAAAATATTTACTAATCATGTTAGCAGACCCTAGTCATTTTTCAGTGCTGTAGTGCTGTCTTAAATCCCACAGTCTCATCTCTTCACTTAAAACAAGATAGTTGTGAAGGAGGTAACTTCTGTGTCCAGAAGATAACCAGCACAGCAGAGATTAAACCAGCACAGCAGAGATTACAGGTACTGTTGCAGGCATACACGATAAAATGAGGAGTGAGGCAGGAGCACACAGCTGTATGGCTGTGGTCCTCCAAAGGGAGATAAAAGAACAATGTGGGAAATTTAGACCATTCAGAAGTATTTGTAATGTGGCAGTAGTGTGTGCCTTAATTTTGT